GTTTAACTACTATATGTATGATCATGCAGCTTCCATACAACTTTTGGCTCTCCACGCACCCACCTCTTTTTCTTTTGACTTGTAAATTTAAATCTATTATATTTTCCGAGTGAAAGATAAATTTATATTTCATTTGCATATTAGTGTTCCTTGTGGCGAGGGCTTTGAAACAAACTCACTTTTGAATACTTTTGACAAGTTTTAAAAACTTCAGAAAATTTCATCTATGAAAACTTAATATAACAATACTTGAGGCAGTGTGCAACAGCGGATGTGTGGATTGTTTAAATTTGTTAACAATACTTGATGAGATGCAAAATATATACAACTCGATATATCTTGACTGTAATTTGTTAATGCCATTTACAGGTTCCCATGCCAACCAAAGTAGAAAACATGAAATTCAGTGATGATGAGGAGCAGAACAGTGGTGATAAAATCTACTGCAGTGGTCCGTCTGATTCTGAATATGAAGCTGAAGTTAATGATTACAACAGATGCATTGGGGCAAGAAGGGGTAAAGTTATATATGGATAACATTGAATTCATGTATGCAACAATGTATTACTCTCCAAAATTTATTTTTCTTTCTTGTAGGTCTTTATATTCAGGGGGAAGTACCGTTCGAAAGGTACATCTTTTACGTCGACTGTGTGGGTGTATCACCTAGGAGCTGGAATTTTCTCGAGAAGCAAGTCAGCAAGAACAAACCTGACATACCTTTCTCTGTCTGTGAGATCACTAAGTCTACGGTCAAGCATATGGTAAGAATTTTAACTTTCTTTTCATATCTCATTTCACCAATCAACGTGACATAAACTTGTGATCTATGATTTCTTGTGCTTTCAGTATTTCTAAGACTCGTAATTTCCCCAAGTGTTATCTGCATAAGAAAAGACTTGTGTGCGTCATAAATGAGTCCACAGAGGCTCTCATCAAGTCGGGTTATTGATTGACACGCATGACGAGCGTGCGGCCTTCACTACAAACTAGGCACATGTTATGAGGGACACCTAGTAGCTATGTTGCATCTTCTCTCCTAGCCGAGTGAAAATTAATGGCTATTACATATTTATACAAAACAATTCTACTTGTTCATGGATCATTACACCACTAAATGTAGTATATAATTTTTATTCTTGCTACCTGTAACACACAATATTAAGAAATCTTACCATATTGTACTTCACACCATTAACCGCTAGTAATATTAATAGTGTTAAGATTCAAATGTTAAATATTAGAAATACGCTAGTCCTAAAGTAGAACCTTATTTTTGATGGAAACTATGTGCTCATATTTTCAACATTTCATTAAACTAGATTTTATCCAAATCGAACTAAGCATAAAAACATGACAAAAGCATATCCATCTATGTAGATGTATATGTGTTGTGTCTATTTCATGGAAATATCTTGAGCTAACAAATATCCCAATGAAAGTTGTGTAGTACGCTTGCCCAATTTAGTTGCAATTAGCTGGGAATTCTAGAGTGTATGAGGCGTTCAAGTAGTTTTTCCTTGAATTATCCTCTTTGTTCTTTGTTATGTTTGTCGTCAAATATCCGCTCTTTCTTTCAAGGATTATAATGGGTAAGCGGGCATGTGTACTCCTTCCATGGTAACGGAACGTTCCAAGCCATTTACTTTTCAACTGAAAATGGCTTTAGCTTAATACAAGACCAGATAATGCATATTCCATTAGCCATATAAAAGTAAGTTGACCAAACACCAACATATGATTTTTAACAAACTAATACATTTGTGTGAACAATAGGGGTTCTAGCTTATTTCATGAAGTTAAATGAGAAGGCACTAGAGAATTGCTTCTATCGGCCATGTCTGTTCAGGCTTTTCGGTAATTTAACACCCTTCAAGGTATCCTATAACTGGCATAGTGAGAAACAATTCTACTGATAGATGTGCACACTCCTGAAAATTTCCAAACTACTCATCTTTGAAAATGCGCAAGGCCTTTAGGCCAAAAAAGGAAGCACACTTCGTGTCTAAATGGCTCTAGAAAAATGCATGTCAACTGAAGCATAAGATCCTATTCTGGTTATCGCTCCATGAGAAAATAAATACCATGGATCAGGTGGATAGAAAATCCTTCCATCTTTCAAATTAGAACCGTGTCTTGTGTACCTCATACTTTGAAGAAACTCGCATTGATCTGTTCAGGGGCTGCTCTTTGCCCAAGCTTGTTGTCACTCCAGTAATAAGGGGCCTGTATATCATTCATTAATGAATGCATTTTCTCAAGCCAGGAATTATCAAGGAATATTTCCATGGACATATTTATCATGGGATGAGAACGGCAAGATATTGAAGAAAGGAACTCCTATCATTGCCTCCCGAAAAAGAAACACAAAAGGGAACCTCCACCTTGTAAGACATGATGCCAAACAAAAGACATCAGAGAGCCTTGATTCTCAGTTAGATAGTTCTCCTTAGTTTATTTTCCATATCTCTTTTTGCACTGTCCTTTTCTATTTGGCTTTTATTACATATTCATGAATTAAAAGTTACACAGTAGGGCTTGTGCCTTACTATTCTAGCGAGGGCCCGCATACGCGTACATATTTCAAAGTTAAAAGTATATTATGCTAGAGACCAATGGAGTACCCCGAAATGTTAGGCCAAGTTCATAACCGTAAATTTAGAATCATATATGAGGAAAAATCCCAGTATTGTGTACTTCTGTTTGATGCAATTTGCCAAAATTTACATTCTCCATCAAATGCACACAACTAATACATGTGTGCGTCATGGTATGATCTCCATGCACGTGTTAATTGTAGGCGTTGGCATATACGTTTTTTACCCGAAACTATATGAATCTCTTCCCGCATTATATTTTTATATATTTTCTCATAAAGCCAAATCCATGTATAGCAAAAAGGAAGAAGAAATAAGCAAATGAAAGCGAACTGACCAACAAAGGCCTAAAGGCTAGAGCTGCAGAAAGTTACATCAACAATTACAATAGAGGATAGAACGAGCAAGTAAATTGCTTATCTGAAATTAGGCACCTAGTCTGCTAGGGATCTATAGGACTTCCGTTCGGCCTGTAACACCAGCCATTGCAACTCTTCCTTGAAGTGTCTTCTGCAAGCATAAAGACTTGGTGCAGTTGCCGTACAGATGAAAGCATTCCTAGTATTCCAAGTACCCATGCAATCGGAATGGTGATGTACATAGCAAATGGCAGAGTCAATAAATTTCTGAGGTTGCCAACTTGATCTTGTATCCCAACTAACAAAACTGACCAAGTGGGGCAGATGTTCCTCTAGTAAATTTTAGTAAATATAGCGGCGGATCTAGGATTTGAAGTTACCTGGGACGGACTTTTTAAAGGAAAAGAAACAAGGACACGACGCAATCAAATAAGATAATCGAGAAGATTAATGGATGAAGTAGTTGCATTCAGGCAATACAATCAACACAGTTAATTGCTCAAATTAGTTTCATTCTCAGAGAACTAGGCAAGAAAACTATATATGCAATAGAAAAATCATATAAAGTCTAACTGGACACACGCTGGTTGAATCTTCCATTCTTTATCACAAACTGACGGTCTGGACTAATTACTCTGAGAAAAGAATCAAGCCGCTTCTTCTTCTTAAGTTCCCAAAACATCAAATTTCGTAATTAATCTTCAATAATCAACTTTCAAGAACTAGACCAGTGTGATAAGAAATTAAAGAATGATATGACAAAAGAGGAGAAGATTAGGGGATAGCGAACGAACCTGCTGCATGTGTTGGCCGCTCGCTGGATGTTTCTATTGGGGCGATGTATCCGGTGCACTCGCACTTGTGGTGCTACCGGTGCACCAGATGTCATAGAATATTTTAAAAAATCTGGGGAAAAAATCTTGCATGTTAACCCAGAATCAATGTATGATGTCACAATATTTCGTATAAAAATTTGAAATATTTTTTGAGATGCAAAAAAGATAAATTTGACATCAGTATGATAATGGGCCAAATCTAAAGCCCAAGTTATGTTATGTACTACTTAGTGTTGAATTTGTCATTTTTGTTTTTCGAGTTATGTTTCGAATTTTGACTTGAAATTTTATGACAACCTACATTAATGTTGTGTGAGTGTGCTAAACTTTTTTTTCAATATTTTTGAACATTTGAAAAGTACAATATAAGTTTGGTGCACCGGTAGCACCACAAGCTCTGGTGCACCAGATATTTTCCCGCACGTGATGGAGCCAATGGCATTGTTGTCCGTGCGGACGGCACGAGCGGTTGGACTTGGAGCTGGGGAGCGCCACAGCAAGGCGGCGCGAGTGTAATCGCTTGATGCTAGGTATTTTGAGACATTGCTTGATGCTAGGTATTTGATCGATTGAAAATTAGAGGGAATTGGATACGGCTGTGTATAGAGATAAAATAAGGGGCTTCTGTTTAATTGGACTTTACTTCTTACCTCATAGGCCCATCTCACAAGAAACAAACGAATCATTTTCTTTTCTTCTCGTCTTCCTTCCTGCTCGACCTCAGTACCTCACCTCCAACCAAAACGTACAGGAAAGCATCTCTGCCTCCCATGCGGCTACTGGCCAAAGCAGTAGGGGTACCCTAGGTTCTAAAACTTTACCCGGGGCGGTCGCCCCTACACGACCCTACGCTGGATCTGCCCTTGTAAATGGACAGTGGAAGAAGAGAGGATCCCTTGACTTCAAAACAAATTGGTCATACATGACACAAGCGTAATCTAAATTAAGAAAATCTTCCTCTGTAGAAGCTGCCTGGTGTTCAATCGATCATTCAGAAGGAGCCAAAAAATATTTTGTGCTTGAGTTGATCACAAGTTTTAAGCCAGGAAATAGCAAAAGTTGGTATGGAATCCCCAATCAGGAGTTTATATGCTTGGTCCACCTTGAGATGCTAAGTGTTTGTTGGGAATTGCCAAGAATTAGGGTCATCACCAAGGGCTATGCCATCTTACAGAATTTCCAATTGTTGAAATTGTGAAAATGCCTCTACTGACAAAGGTAGGTGGAAAAGTGACACAACATCTTCAAGTGGAGGAGCTTGATGCATAGACAAATGTAGGCTCTTTGCAAAAGAAAAAAAGGTGTGACCAGACAAATTGTAAACTTTGTCTCTGCCAGGGGTCCGTCCAGAAGGACACGGCCCTGCCATTTCCAAGCAAACATGGAGCATGAGTTTTGTAAGTTCCCAATTGCTTCAAGCAGTCTTTCCACCAAAAGGAAAAGTTGGCAAATTGTTCAGGAGGTAGCCCTGATTGGTAATAAAACTCCCATACTAATTTAACCCACGGAATATTTTGGCAATTGAGGAATTTATGTACCATTTTTAATAGCAAAGTATCATTCTGAGCTTCAAATTTTAGAATGCAAACCCCTCCTTGATAGTTAGGTTCACAAATGCGGCCCCAAGTTGCCAAGGGAGGGTTTTTCTTTTCCAAGTCTTTACCCCTCCAAAAGTAGTGCCTCGTGTATTTATCACACTCAAGAATGGTCCCGTTATATAGCTTAATACAACTGATTAGAAATGTTGGCAAAGAAGATAGCACAAAGATGTGAGGAATCTAGGATTAAAATTAATCCACAAGCATCTTCTTCTAGTACGACTAGCTCAACGGGCACAAAGATGTGCCATTTGGTTAGCCTCTCGCCTTACGTTAGAGCATCTCCAGCCGTTCGCCCCCCGGGGGGGCTAGAAAATGCACCGCTTGGGGGTGAACCAGCGATATTTTCGCCATGGGGGCGATCGGGTTCCCAGCCACCGCCCCCAGACGCCCTCTTTTAAACGTTTTGTAAAAGATATTCGGTCGAAATTTGGCAGACAGGACATAGATTCGGCATAGATTCGGCAAACACACCATAAATTCGGCAAACACGTCATAGATTAGGCATTCCATGGTCTTTTACATAGAAAACATAAAATTTACTAAAAAGACAAAAGGGCCACACCTACAGGCCAAAGAACTCACTGAACGTGGCGTAGTCGCTGTCGCCGCCGTCGTCGTCGCCCTTCTCCTTCTTCACGCGGTCGTCCCTGCTGGACCCCTGCCCGGGGTCGCCCTGACGGACTTGTTTGGCCGGCGGCGGCGCATCGTCGTCGTTGTCCTCAAGCACCATGATGCCGCCCTCGACGCACCCATGACGGTGCGCGGCGATCTCCTCCAAGGCGCGACGACGGCGCTCCATCTCCAACCGGGCCCAATTTTCCTGTGCCCACTTCATGGCCGCCTCGTCGTCGAGCACATCATTGTGCTCTCTCTTCACGGCGGCGAGCCCCGGCTCTGTCTTCGGCTTGACGAGGTGGGGAGGAGCCGAGGAGGAGGCACGGCCGCCCTCGTTGATGACGAGGGTAGCACTGCAGGTGCGCTGGTCGAGCGGCGTTTTCACGGGCTCGGGCTTGACGCTGACAACCGCCGGCGACCCGGAGGAGTGGGAGGAGGATCGGGAGGAGGAGGAGGAAGACCCGCCTAGCATTCGCCACGGCAGCCACGGGCCGACACTCTGACGGGGGCCGAGGCCGCCGGCTACTGTAGCGGCAGATCATTGTCGTTCTCGAGGTACTCGAGGACGGCGTGCAGCGTGCGGCCAGGGACGCCCCACCACAAGCGGCGGCCGTCGCTGTTGTTGCGCCCCCTGACCACCGGCGTGTTGTTGACGAAGGCGAGCTGCTCCGCCTGCCGGCGTTCGAAGTACGCCGCCCACGCCTTGTGGTTGCCGGTGTCGTACTCCGGGAGGGCGCGCTCCTCCTCCGTCAGGGAGGTCCGCACACGCTCGATTTCAGCATGGAAGTATCCGGGGTGTTTGACGTCGGGCAGAGGGGGGACTGGGACGCCCCCTGGCGCTGAGCCTCCACCGCCCCGGCGTGTGCATGTCGGGGGCGTCGGGTAGTTCGCCTCATGGAGGAGGTGAGCTTCCCACTCATGGAGAGAGCGGCGGCCGAAGCCGTTGGCCGCCGCCGCATCACCGGGGAACCGTTCACCCATCGGGGTGTGCGTGCACGCGGTGGCTAGACGGGGAGAGAGGGCGTCGGCGGCGAGAGAAGGGGGGCTGCAGGCGGGTGATTTCACCGGTGAGGGAGGGGACGACTTTTATAGCGAGCGGGGGCGGCAACGCATGTGTACGTGTGACGGGAGGGGGCGCGTCACCGCACGGTGCCACACGTAAGGAATCAATGGAAGGCTGACTGGCGGCAGCCTTGGCATTGATTCCCCATGAGAAACCGAGACGACGAGGACGACGAGGCTCGGGGGTCACTGACTCGGCGGGCCCGCCGTTCTTTCGCGCCAGTTTCAGGCCTAACAGGCGAAAAATGGGGTTTTAAAAGTGCGACTGGACCTTTTTTGGGCCGGTGCCAAAAAAAAGACCTGGGGGTCTGTTGGGGGCGCTGCTGGAGATGCTCTTAGCCACATCGAAGCTATGAAAACCTTTGGAGATACCTTCAATATCCATCAGAATAGAAGAAATTTCAGATCTCCCTTCATCCCTCTTTTTTGATAGGTCGACAACACCTTCAGCATCCGTTTCAATAATGACATTCTGAAGCGTGTCACATGCTAATCACACTCCATCCCGCACAACCAAGGCCTTAGTGGTCAGATTATTTGGCGCATGCTCAACCCACATGCCATGGGCTCGGACGAAGGCTCCATCATGTCCATGAACAGTAGCAGCAGTGTAGTCTGATTCACAAAATCATAATTTTTCGTTAGGTATCTGACCAAATAGGATCGTCTACCTTTTTAAGTCAAGAAAAGAACGGAAAAAATAAAGCTTGCATCTACATTAACCTTCATCAAGTTTGGTAAAGGTGGTTCGCAGTGAGTCATTTAGTTTACAGCCACAACATCTTTCTCCTTTTCAGACCGGAGTTTGACTCCCGTTGTGGGCGGATTTTTTATGATCTCATCCGGATGGATTTCTTTTATAAAAATAGTGCCTATGGATTTCAATTTTTTCCCCCACGTACCTCCTCTTCCCAACGGAATACGCTTGATCATTTGTACGAGGAAGCAAGCCAAGTGCCCGTGTTTTTACACTCAGTTTACATCGAGCCACATGGCGACATGTACTTTCCCTGTAGTGCTAGCAATTCTAAGAGCATCTCTAATAGGTGCACAGAAATTTCACATCCTTAAATAGTTTTAGCGCGCCACTGTAGCACATTTAGTGCGCTGGACCCAACATTATTTTAGTAGATGCTCAGAATCGCGCGCCCAAAAGAACACATAGTGTAAATTGTGAAGCGCGTGCAATTCGGCGCCTCAAATTTACAGCTTTTGATAGCGTTTCTCAGCGCGCGCACAACCCTTTTTTGCGCGCGCACTCTTTTATAGTTTCTGCTGAAGCTGTCCGGCGCACAAAAAACCTGGATTTTAGCGCGCGGCCCAGTTTTTGGACGCCTGTTGGAGCTGCTCTAAGTGAACACATGATTAATAACGTACGAATATCCAAGGGCCACGCTACACGTCGGCCAACTATCATTTGTACAGGTATCCAGCATCCAACACCGTTCTCATTATTGCAACAAGGGCAGTGTTACAGAAATACTTTACAACAGAGGTTCTATTGCAGAAATCTTTCTCGACATAGTCGATGTTGCAGATTTTTTTTTCATCACTATTTTTGCAACATGGGTATTGCTGAGGAAACCAAATAGCAAGACAGACAATGTTGCAAAAATATTTGTTATTTTTGTTGTCTTCATTTTTTCGCTTTTTTGTCTTTATTTTTTCGCAACAGAAGTGTTGTCGCGGAAGATAGTTTTGCAACACACATGACGTTGGAGAAAGAGAGACGCCAAAGGTATGTGTACACATGTCACATAGAGGAGGCGGCGGATGGCTCGCGTGCGATCCGTCGGGTGAAGGAAAGGGGACCGGCTGGAGATCAATCAACTGAAAACGAAATGGGTCAGTCGATTGAACCAGATTTGTTTCAGTCAATTTGCTCCTAGTGGGAATGGAGGGACAGAGCGCTGCATGAGTCAGTCTTGAGAGTCTATCCATGCATGATCTTTAGCCGGTCATTATCCGAACTGAACCAATCATTTGTTCATTTGTTCACTTCCATGGGATACATGCATGCACACAACCGCACAATCACATAAACAATATTTAGTTCATTAAGATTGGTTGTAATGACGAGTATCATATACTAGTATCATGCATATGATACTACCTCCGTAATGCATAGTATCATAAGTTAGTATCTTAGTTTGCCTTATTAATTGCCATGCATGACACAAAATAGTACAACATTTAATATGATACAGTATCATGATATGATACCACACTCTCTCTTTCCTCATTTAATTGTGTGTCACATCATCCAAAAAATCTAGTTGGCATGCATGGTACCGCTTATGATACTACCATTATGATCAGCCTAAACACCAGCCATTAGCATTTAATTAATCACATGGAAAACAAGCCGTCATAGCCATTATCCGAATGGCAACGCAATGTGTGTTGTGCAATCATTAGTGACTATATGTGTAATGAAAAAGGAAAAAAAATCAAAACTTGCATACAATTCACACTGAAATTGCACTTTTTGAAATATGCAAAGAATAAAGCATATAATAGTGCATTTTTTGCATTCTACTATAATTTACACATAGTGGAAATAAAAAAATGTATTTCCTTTAATAAGAAAGAAAATTAAGAACAGCTTGTGCACAGCTTTGCACCGAAATTGCACTTTATCGTAATATGCAAAAATAATCATATAATCACGAAATTTGGCACATATTATATAGTATTTGTTTGTATATAATTACACCCAGCCAAAAACCCACATAAAACAAAAAATAACCAATAAGGAAAGAAAATGAAAAACAAAAACACATGGAAATAGAAAACAGAAATAAAAAAACTGCGCATATTGTAGTGAGATTTTCGCAAAAAAATTAGTAATGGGGTAGTGACATTGTTATTACCCTTACAAAAGAAAAGAAATGAAAACTAAAACAAAATAAAAATGAATTAATAACTAAAATAAAATTAAAAATTTATGTTTTCTACGGAAGAATGAATTTTTGGCATTGATATTAACCTTTCAGGAAAAAACTAAAACAAAATCAAAATAATGAAGTTTTCTAAGAAAGAATGAAAGCCTTTAAGAAGAAAATGAAAAAGGAAAAAACTTTCAAAACTTGCACATAATTTGCACTGATATTACACTTTTTGAAATATGCAAAGAATAAGCAAAGTATAGTGCATTTTTTGCATTCTGCTATAATTCCCTCATAGTGTAACTGAAATAATGTATTTTTTAAGAAGAAAAACAACTAAAAAAACTTGCGCACAACTTTGCACCAAAATTACAATTTATCGTAATATGCAAAAATAATCATATAATCATGAAATTCTGGCACATATTATATATTATTTGTTTGTATATCATTACACTCGGCCAAAACCCCGCAAAAAAACCAATAAAGGAAAGAAAAAGGGAAAAGGAAAACCCCATAGAAACATAAAACATAAATAAAAAAGTGAAGCAAAAATACCCTTAAATAGGAAAGAAAATGATATAAAAAACTAAATCAAAATAATGACCAAAATTGCACAGAAACTGCACATAAATTGTGCTTTGTTATAATATGCAAGAATAAACACATAATAGTGAATTTTTTCGCAAAAAGAAAATTTTCTAAAGAAAGAATGAATTTGCAGCATTGGCATTTGATCCATGTTGTCTCTACTTCTCCGGATCAAAATATTGAATTAGTGGTATAAGTATTACAGTTTAAGAAGAAAAAGAAGTAAAAAAAGACAATAATGACAAAATTTGCACACCATTTGAATAGAAATTGTGCTTTTAAAATGTGCAAGGATAAGCACAAATAGTGAAATTTTACAAAAAAAATCCTAGGTAGGAATGAATTAGAGGTATTGGTATTAACCTTAAAGAATAAAGAAAATAAAATAAAAACTTAAAGAAAATTAAAATATTGAAGTTTTCTAAGAAACAATGAATTAGTGTCATTGGTTTCCCGTTAAGATGAATGGACATGGAAATAATAAAACAAATAATGAAATATTTGGCAAACAATTTGCACAGAAGTTGCACATTTTTATAATATGCAGGAATAAGAATATAATAGTGTAATTTTCAGAAAAGGAAATTTCCTGATAAGAAATGCAGCATTGGTATTATCACCAAAGAATAAAGGAAATAAAATAATACTAAAAAACTGAAATACCAGAGTTTTCAAGAAAGAATGAATTAGTAGCCTACATATTACTCTTTAAGGAAAAATAAAATGAAATAAAAACTAGAACACAATCAAAATAATGAGGCATTCCATGGAAGAACGAATTATTAACATTGGTATTACCCTTTAAGAAGAAGAAATAAAATAAAATAGAAACTAAAACAAAAATCAAAATAGTAAGTTTTTCTAAGGAATAATTATTTAGTGTCATTAGTATTACCCTTTAAAGAGAAAAAACAATTAGTTAATTAAATAAGAAAGAATGAATTAGTAGCATTATTATAACCCATTGAAAAATTAAGAAAAAAAGTTCGCAAAACTTGCAAACAACTACGCTCTTACATTACACTTTTTTAGTACGCAAACAATAATCATATAGTAGTGTAATTTGTGCACATATTGCAAATTATTTATGTGTGTACATTACACTCACCCAACATCCCAAAAAATATCCACAAAATAAAAATAAAACCAACTAACAAAGAGAAACAGAAAAACAAAAACAAAAGTACATAAAAACAAAAAAATATTAAAAACGAAAGAAGAGAGTCAGAGATGGATCACACTATTAACGGGCTTCGGCCCACAAGAAAGTCAACTGGCCGAATTAAGGGGTCAGTCAAAAAAAAAGCCCACACAACAAACAACATAGGTCAGGGGAAAGAACATAGCACGAATCTTAAAGAAAAGGGAAAACTTTGTTTTTGCCACTCTAGTTTTTGCCAACTTTGATTATGCCACTCTAGAATTTGACATCTCACTTTTGCCACTCTTAGCTTTTGACAATACATCACAAATGCCATTCCGTGGCAAAAACGATAATTTTTTATTTCACTTTTGCCACTCTTAGCTTTTGACATGTATCACAATTGCCACTCTAAATTATTTGTTTTTGCCACGGAATGGCAAAAGTGATATATTGTCAAAAGCTAAGAGTGGCAAAAGTGAAATGTCAAATTCTAGAGTGGCATAAGCAAAGTTGGCAAAAACTAGAGTAGCAAAAACAAAGTTTTCCCCAAAGAAAAATCCAATGACCCCAAAATCGACTGACCCAAAAGTGAAATTTCAGCTGACTGAAATGTAGCTAAAGTGGAAGGAAAGAGTTTCCCAATATCAAACTTGTAAAATTAATATATTTGATAGCTCACGCTCCTTCCGCAAAGTTGGAAGGAGAGCGGTAGGGGTACAAACTTTATTGCGTGGTCTACGAACTGGAACAAACATTTCTTGTAGGAGTACAACGGTCTGGCCGCCGGTGCGAAGTTGCTAACGTCTAGCTAGCTAGCGCCGCCCGGCCGGCACCCTAAGGCCGCTCTTCTCCCAGACGCAGTAGTTATTGCCGTGAGCCACGACGTGGAAGTCGGACGGGATGACGCTGCCAGCGTCGAACCTCGGTCCGAGCTTGACGATAACTTTCTCGTCAACCGCCGCCACGTACATGTCGCTCTCCGCCGCCAGGATGCGCAGCTTGCTCCCGGCGTTGATCCCGTTGCGGTTCCTCACCGCCGCCAGCGCGTAGATCTCTTGCTTCAGGTTCCAGTCGAAGACATGATCGTAAAACTGCACAACATATAAGAGTATTGGACATTGATCATGCGTGGCCATTCTAGAAATGCAATAAGAAAAGGTATGGCTCGATCATGCACGTACGATGCATGGAACTCCAGGGTGGGTGAGGATGTAGGCGTAGCCCATCATGACCTTGTCGGTCGGGAACGGCCATTTCTTCTGCGACGAGCCCGTGTCGTGGTTGTCCACGAACGTGACCGCCTTCTCCGGCAACAGGCCGATCATCCCGGGAGCGTTGCCCTCCTTGTCCCGCATCCTCCACAGCTCGCCCTGCACCGCCGACTGCAGGATGCCCTTGGTCGTGAAGTCGAACGCCATGGCAGGGCCGCCGACCGCCTTGGCCCAGTTCACCAGCTCCAGCCGCTCCGCGTCCTGGTTGACGGCGGGCTTCCCGTCGCCGTCGTAGCTGAGGGAGTTCCATATCTCCGCGACGACGAAGCCGGGGCTCGTGTTCTGGACGTACGTCCTGGCGACGTCGGCCGAGTAGCCCTTGGCGAAGTCGAGGCGCCAGCCGTGGAAGCCGAGGTCGGACTTGAGCCAGTTGAGCCAGTCGGAGAGCTCCTTCTGGACGCGCGGGTTGAGGTGGTCGATGTCGGGCGCGGCGGCGAAGTCGGCGCCGGTGTCACGGTTGCCCGTGCCGTCGGAGAACTTGGTGTCGTCGCTGCAGATCATGCCGGGACCCCAGTCCAGGAGGCCCTCGGGTCCTCCGCCCTTGAAGATGCAGTAGATGCCGCGGCCGTCCTTGTCCTCGGCGCAGCGGTGGTTGATGACGACGTCCGCGACGCACTTGATGCCCTTGGCGCCGAAGGCGGCGATGAGCGACCTGAGCTCCGCCGCCGTGCCGTACTTGGACGCGTCCAGGTCGTAGAGCCGGCCCGGCATGTAGCCTGCATGCACGTTCGTTGCAGAGTTAGGAGGCGTGCCATGCACTGAGGCAGCAAGAGCACACGTGACCCGTAGAGGTGTAGATGGTGGATGTGCCTTGAGATGAAACGGAGTGCGAAGGTGGCGGCAGCCAGACGTGTGTGACCCCGGCGCCGGCGATGTCGCCGACCTGGGCCTTGAGCATATTGTACCAGCCACCTTGCTTGTTCCACGAGTCCCAGTTGAACCCCTGCATGCATGCACAAGACCGATCGAACACATCAGTGGTCTAGCTAGCTGTGAATTTACGTGGAGGCGTCCGTGCATTCGTGCATCACCTGAAACAGGATCTCCGTCTGTGCATTGACGCCGGACGTGAGCTCGAGCAGCACCACGAGAAGGCCGCACAGGGCGGCGATCTGCCTCCCCATAGCTCTGGTGCGTGCGCACACTCGGATGTCCGTACGTGTGTGTAGCGCTAACACTGTACGTGCGTAGTACTTGTGGCTAGTCAGCTGGATATAGAACTTGTTTGCTTTTTGTGAAGCAGACATTCTCCCAGGGGGTATTTATAGGGGGACGGCTAGGACGCTCCGGCCGCCGGCGAATGTGTTCTGGATGACCCGAACGGAAATGGATAAGGCAATCGCCGTCTTCCGCAGCGCACAATCGTCTAGTACGTACGGTTGTGCTGCTGGCTAACACTTGTAGTACCAATCCGTTATCGTGCTACTCGAGGAGGAACGAAGCGGCGAAAGGCGGGCGTCCAGAATCCACGTACTCCAGTACTACTATCTTGTTGAGGCTCGATCGCGTACGACCGAGACACTTTAATTTTCTAGTGGTTTCCTCCGAACGAGTATGCCTGCAGTTGTCCTATGTATTTGCAATCCTTTGTCTTGCACTCAGAAGCCAGTTAGATTCATGTGTATTATCCATTGGATAAATAAGCAATTTCCGATTAATTTAATCCATTGGAAAAGCAATCTCCGTGTCTTGGTCGGGGCGGCGAGGCGGCAGCGTAGCCCCAGTTTTTGAATAATGTTCTCCTCGTCTTATCCCAGTTTCATCCGTGTAATTAGCATCGGTGGAGGATGAGTTATGTGTGTCTTCGCGGATCTTCCTAGACTTGGTCGGCTTTGATGTCTGGTGGATTCACACGTATCTGGTCGGTGTTCATGCTCTTTAGAGTATCTACATGCTTTTTTTGGTGCCTTCTTCTCTGTGGCGGCGATTTGCTACGCTGATCGCCATAGTTACGTCTTCTGGTCTACATCAATGACTTCCCGATCATTGCTTCTATAAGTTTGCTTTATCGAGGCGGAGGCCCAGAGGCGGCATCGGGCTTTGTTCACGGCGCAACGTCGGTGAGTGCAAGAGGAAGAAGATTTGGGCACCCTATGAATTTGGTTGTAATCTTTTCTATGAAGATGTGTTAGAGAACTTGTGATACTTAATATATGGCTTTAGACCTTTAAAAAACTTTCCACTGAAGTTTCCATACATGTGTACTGCATGAGCGTAGACACGAACCTATGAGTCAACAAGCACTACTAGGAAAATGGCTATAGATGGGATTGACACTAATGACGCACCAGAAAGATGGTGCGCCATTAGTACTAATGGCGCACCACAATCTGATGCGCCATTAGAGTTTAAACAACTAATGGCGCACCATGCTACGGGTGCGCCATTAGTATCAAATTTTTTTTTAACTAGTGCGCCTGTCCAAACATACTAATGGCGCATCCCGGCAAAGTGCGCCATTAGTAGTTGTAACTACTAATGGTGCACTAGGCAGCAGGTGCGCCATTAGTATAGAAACTTTTTTTTTGAACTAGTGCGCCTATCCAAACATACTAATGGCGCATCCTGCCCAAGTGCGTCATTAGTAGTTGTAACTACTAATGGCGCACCTGGCAGTGGGTGCACCATTAGTATAGTTTTTTTTTTGAACTAGTGCGCCTATCCAAACATACTAATGGCGTATCCTGCCCAAGTGCGCCATTAGTAGTTGTAAGTACTAATGGCGCAGCATGCAAGAGGTGCGCCATTAGTAAGTGGGCAGCAACAAGATATTTGGGACAGCCTCTCCTACCCACACACTCACTTTCTCCCCACTTCATTCTCTCCACCTCCTCCTTGTCTCGGGTGCCTCCTCTTTTTCACCTCATTTCCACCATAGATTCATTCAAATTAAGTGGTTAAATTACCTTGTTTTAATAGGTAAGTAAGGGGGGAAGCTATATTTAGGTTGTTCTCCTTACAACAATGTGCACATGCACTTTTTACGGCCTAGCTAGATCTATGTATGTTCGTGGTGTTGCATATGTTTGTGGTGTTGCATATGTGTTTGTGTTTGGAGGTGTACCGGTATTTGATATGCGATAGTTGCCAATATTTTGCCGGAATGTTGATTCATTTCCGTTTCGGCGAGAATTTTGGCATTAAGCATTCTTTTTGGTCCTATTTTTAGGGAAGGTCATGCCAAATTTTTGTTTGGTTCTAAAATATCGTTTTGCTCTACCCCGCAGGCGACCATGGTCCGCACGATGACCGAAGGCATCGTGAATAGGTTTTTGAGGTCCGCGAAGGCCGAGATGCTTCAAAAGAACGAGACGGAGATAAGATGTCCGTGTCGAAGATGCAAGCTGAAGAGCCTTATTGCGGACCCGGATTCCGGGCAGGTGCGGGACCACCTGCTGTTACGTGGTTTCATGGATGGCTATCGGTGGCAAGGTGATGAAGATGACTACGAAGTCGTCCATGCGGGCCGGGCAAGAAATGAGGAAGGGCAGCAAGACAACCACCGCGGCTCGGGCGGGCGAGAAGACGAAGAATCCCCAGGAGATGATCACGACTGTGATGCTGTACACAGTCATCATGTAGAAGATGCAGGACATGATGATGAGGAAGATGCCGGAGCAGGCGACGGGCATGATCATGAAGATGATGATGCCGGCGGAGCAGACGACGCTGGACCATCGATGGGCTGGGTGCAGGACCCTCATATTCAAGAGCTGCTTCTCAAGCAGACGGATAACGCAAGAGCTGCCGCCCGAGAGAAAGCCAAGATGGATCAACTTGAGTTAGACGCGGTTACTCCATTGTATGAAGGATGCAGGCCCGAGGATACCCGCCTGAAAGTAACGCTCATGGCCCTGGAGATGAAGGTAAAACACAAAATGACCGACGCATGCTTCGGCGAGAACATGTCATTCTGGCACGAACGTCTTCCCAAGGGGAACAAGTGCCCGACCAGTTTGGAGGAGGCGAAGAAAATCGTGTGTCCTCTGGATTTACCGCACGTGAAATACCATGTGTGCATGAACAATTGCATCATTTATCGGGACGAGCACGCGGAGTCTACAATATGTCCGGTGTGCGGTGTCACTCGATACAAGAAGAGGAAGAAAGCTCCTCGAAAAGTGGTGTGGTACTTTCCGATCACTCCTCGTCTGCAGCGGTATTTCGCGGATCCTAAGGTAGCAAAGCTCCTACGTTGGCACGCGGATAGGGAGGAGAAGAAGCGAGAAGATGACGCAAATGATCCGGAGATAGATAAAAAAGACAAGATGCTGAGTCACCCTAAGGATGCGAGCCAGTGGCAAGCATTGAACTTCGAATACCCAGAATTTGGGAACGATCCAAGGAACATCGTGCTGGGCGCGAGCACCGATGGAGTCAATCCGTTTGTCAACCAGAGAAGCACACATAGCACCTGGCCTGTGTTTGTATGGATGTACAACCTTCCCCCCTGGTTGTGCATGAAGAGGAAGTACATTCACATGAGTATGCTAATTGAAGGGCCGAAACAACCAGAGAACGACATCAATCTGTATCTAGGGCTGCTGAAAGAGGAGCTTGACACGCTGTGGAAAACGCCAGCCAATACGTGGGACGCCGCAGAGAAAGAGTATTTCCCTATGAGAGCCGCACTGCTCACGACGGTGCACGACTATCTCGGTTACGGATATCTTGCGGGGCAGGTAGTCCACGGATTTTCTGGATGCGTAAGGTGCATGGATGACACAACGTATCGCCAGCTAGATAGAGATCCCGGGTCTTCGAAAACCGTGTTCATGGGACATCGAAGGTGGCTTCGCGACGATGACCCGTGGAGGAAACGCAAGGATCTGTTCGATGGTGAAACAGAACCCCGAAAACGCCCGTGTACGAGGAGCGGCGAGGAAATAGACAAGCTGTTGAAAAATTGGAAAGACTGCCCACTGCCGGGAAAGAAGCAAAAGGCGCCAGAGCCGGGAAAGAAGCGAAAGGCGCCAGAGCCGCTGCTGAAGGTATGGAAAACGAGGTCTGTTTTCTGGGACTTGCCGTACTGGAAGATCCACCGTGTGCCTCACAGCCTTGATGTCATGCATATCACGAAGAACGTGTGCGAGAGTCTGCTTGGTACCCTGCTCAACATGCCAGAGAGGACCAAAGATGGGCCGAAAGCAAGGGCAGACTTGAAATCAATGGGCATCAGGCAGGAGCTTCACGCTATATATGATGATGATGATGATGATGATGATGATGATGATGATGATGATGATGATGAGGTGAAGCAGGACACAGAAAGTCGTCGCAAAGGCAAAAAGGCCAAGAAGACCGGAAATGACTACCCTCCCGCGTGCTTCACTCTAAGTCAGGAGGAGATCGAGCAGTTTTTCACCTGCCTCCTAGGAGTAAAACTTCCTTACGGTTACGCGGGGAAGATAAGCAGATACCTAGACCCAGCGAAGTAGAAGTTCAGCGGGATGAAGTCTCACGACTGTCACGTGCTGATGACGCAGATACTTCCAGTTGCAATCCGTGGGATCATGGACGCGCACGTCCGTGAAACGTTATTTGACCTATGCAACTTCTTCGACGTCATCTCTCGGAAGTCGATTGGCGTGAGGCAACTCAGAAGGCTACAGGAAGAGATCGTGGTGATACTATGCGAGCTTGAGATGTACTTCCCGCCCGCATTCTTCGATGTTATGGTGCATCTGCTGGTCCATATAGTGGAGGATATCATCCAACTCGGGCCGATGTTCCTGCACAGCATGATGCCGTTCGAAAGGATGAATGGTGTCATCAAAGGATACGTTCGCAACATGTCACGTCCAGAAGGAAGCATAGCCAGGGGCTTTCTGACCGAAGAGTGCATCTCCTACTGCACGAATTATCTAGGCATCGAGAACCCCGTTGGTCTGCCCGTCAACAGGCACCTCGGCAGGCTCGCTGGATGGGGTCACCGTGAGGGTCGCCGCGAAATGCATGTCGACTTCGAGGGTCGACTCGCCGACTTTGAAAGAGCAAACCTAGTCGCGCTACAACACATAGACGTGGTCGATCCTTGGTTGGTAGAGCACAAAACCTTTATTAAAAAGACGTACAATGACCGAGGCCAACAGAGGACGGACGGAGATATACTCAAAGAGCACAA